ACTATTAACATTGAAAATTTATATTTATTCCTGTTACGTAACAGATATTATTATTGATAATATTTATTATAGAATTCCACAATTTGAGAGAAGAAGAGAGAAAGAAAGACACTAAAAATGGCTAGTGGCAGTGACACGTCAGTAGACGTCGTAGAGGTAAAGATATACACTATATATACACTAAACACTATTAACATTGAAAATTTATATTCATATGTATACTAAATATTATTATTGATAATATTTATAATAGAATTTCACAATTAGCGCATATTGAAAGCTAACCAAGCATTAAAAGTATAATTTTAATAAATATTTTAGTACATTCTTTTATCAAATACACAACCCTATCCTTTTATACATCTCCTTTAGAATTCTTTGTAACATTGTATTTTATAGGCATCAACTTGTGGGGTGTGCATGTCCAAAGTTAACAGAAGCGAAATTGTTAACCACAAATGTTGTCGAAATTGGCATAGTGTTACTATTGATGCAAATGCCAACATTTTCTATCCTACTAATCGTAAGGACTATAATTAATTTATATGATATATAACTATCTACATTTATTTGAAAAAATTGTAATAATTAATATTTTGTACAACATTGCAGAAAAGGGGAACTATTTGGCAAAAATGATATGCAACAATAAAGAACAACTTGTATTAATTAATAATAAAGAAAATGGTCAATTTTCTTTTGAAAATGTACAAATAAACAAGGAAGTAGTGGCTGAGTCCGATCTACCCACAAATGATTGCTGTATTTCTGGAAGTGATTCACAAGAATCATTTTCGACATTAGACAAAAGTACATTAGAAGAAATGTTGATTTTAGAAGTTAGAAACAGACCGCCCTTATACGATTACACACTGCCTTTGTCTGTACGAGGTAGATACAAAATTGCTGAGTTGTGGAAAGAGATATCTGACGCTCTTCAAGGTATGTATTTTACATAAGCCTGAATTATCAAATAAAAGCATTTATTACATTTAAAGTTTCAAAAGTATGTTTTAACAATTACATTAGGTCTTATGAGTCCTGAAGAAGCTAAAAAGAGATGGAAATCGCTTAAAGACACTTATAGTAAAATAGTGGCTGAAGAAAAGAAACCTAGTGGGTCAGCTAGATCATGTTCACAAAAACCATTTTGAAGCAATGTCCTTCTTACGTTCGGTGTCAAAAAATAGAAAGTATATATAAATTTTCATGTGCAACTTAAAGTATACAGGGTGTCAGA